CCCGCCATGTAGGTTGGTGGACAGGTTACTTTTTAGCTTCGGGCTGGCACATCAGTTTCTTGGCCCGAAGTAGAGCCTGTGTTGCTTCAGGCCAGAAAACGGGCCGTTTTAGACCCACACCAGGTTTGGCCTGGCCAGGCCCTGGTAATGGTAACAGTTCAGGCCCTGGCCTCCTTTTTTTACCAGGCCACACTTGGACCGTCAGATTCGATCCAAGTGTGCGGCCAGATTGTTTCCCAGGCTACTCATTCTGGGCCTCATGTTTAGGCCAGTGGGACCTACGAGAGGCCAGACCAGTAGTACTTATAGACTGGTCTGCCTCTCACTCGGTAGGTTAGTGTGAGCTAGTATTCAGCGTTATGCTGCAATATTCTTCAGCACTGGGCGGATTAGCGGTTGGTTAGAGGTAGCGAGCGTGGAGGCTGTAGTGGAAACTGCAGCAGGAGAGAGGCGGAGGCCAGACACTGGGACTCACCTAGTGACTCATGTGGGAGCGCCATAGCTCCAGATTCTTCTACAGCACTCCTGCACGGTCAGTATCTGGTACCAGCAAAGAGAGAGGAAGAGGATTCTTCTTCTTCTTCTTCTTCTCGTTCATCTTCTCTCCTCCGGACCTCCTTCATCCTCCATCCCTCAGTCTTCTACTTCTGTCTGGATACGAGAGAGAGAGAGAGAGAGAGAGAGAGAGAGAGAGAGAGAGAGAGAGAGAGAGAGAGAGAGAGAGAGAGGAAATCCGGGCGCTTGATTTCCTCTCTCTCTCGTTTACCATGTTTTGTACACTGAAAACGGGAATGAATCTCCGATGACAACAGAGGAAGATTCGTTCCCTTCATCTCTCTCTCTCTCTCTCTCTCTCTCTCTCTCTCTCTCTCTCTCTCTCTCTCTCTCTCTCTGGCCCACCTGCCGCCCCACTCCTGACGCGTTATCTGTTTCTTAGTTTTTCGTTTTTTTTGTGTGTGGATATTTGTTTTTTTTTTGGGGTTTCTATTTGCTCCCTGGTCCTTCAACTGTGAAACGGTATTCACCAATTCACAGTAGCTGATGCAGATCCCAGGGCTCGATCCCTAGTCCCCACCTTACCTGTGTACAGTATCGGTGTCGACCCTTAGAGTTGAACCCGTGACCTGTGTATTTGTAACGGTTGGTAGGTTGTCGTAGGGTCCATAGGTAGTAGGCGTTCGATCTGTAGACCTGTCGAGTAGGAGTCCCAGTCAGGTCTAGAAGTCGTAGCTGTAGCTTTCTCGAAGGGCCAAGGTCGTAGCTGCTACAGCCCAGAAAGGTCAAGGTCGTAACTGCTACAGTATCGAAAGGCCAAGTCTACGGCCTTCCGGAAGGTCCGAGTAGTGGCCTTTCGAAGTTGCCCACGTTTAGGCTGAGGCAAGTGGGCAAGTGGTGAGGCAAGTGGGCAAGTGGTGGAGTCTACCTGTGCTGAGTGAACAGTCCCAGTCTCCAGCCCGCCCTGGTCCAGTCAAGCAAGTACCGCATGGGAATGTGTGCACTACGGGCATGGGAAAGGGCCAGACCAACGAGCTGCAAAAGTATAAATCAAGAGGCAGCGCCCAGTCATTCATTCATTCCTGCGTGAGCCATGCGGAAGCGCTGTGATAAAGACTTGTGCGAGGTGGTCTGCAGTGAGCCCGAGGACGAAGTGGGCGAGAGAGAAGGAGCGTAGCCATAGCGATAGGGTAGTAGCGGCCATGGCCGCCATAGCTGTAGTTAAGAGTGCAGTGTATGTGTGTGTGTGTGTTCAGAGTATCGCGTGTGGGATATCCAAGGCGATCCTGTGTATGCGAACAGAGAGTTGTGTGGGCGCTGAGTCGCCATAGCCATCGAAGTGAACCTGTATCTGATCTGTGTTCACGGTAACCATATCTCTGAGTTCTGAGTGGGTGCTTGTCGCCAGTTTGTTGCGCACCTGTTTGCATGCATGAGAGTGTGAATGAAAGCGAGTCTGATTGCATTGGTATCGGAGCTGGTACCCGCTATTCGAGGCGCGCCGCGCCGTTGTGTGTCGCAGGGTGAGTAACGCGCCATAGTCGAAGTTGCCAACGGAGG